CCTCGAGTATATCGGTCGACGACCGTCTCCAGTTGGTTCACTCGAAATTCTTCATTCGGTCCTCTGTCAGATTACCGTGTTTGGATTTATTCCCAACATTCTACTAGCCATAGCTCTCCATCTGGCACATATCTGGCTTCAGTGAGTGATCACGGATGAGATTAGAATTGAGCCGTCGTGTTTATTTCCTCGTGTTACTCATGAGAAGGTTTCGCGCGAACGATGGAATTCTTTGTTGAATGAATTTATCCAGCTTGATCATACCTCGGGTAAGTGTATTTATTGACTTCTTCCATGTTTTCATCGTTTTGTATTACCTGGCTCTTCAGCATGGCATGTGATGGCAGAATCGTCGTCTTTTACCGAGTGATCTTCAGATTCGACCACTGCACTTTTTCTCTCGAGGTTTTGCAGCATGCCTTGTAGCCGCTTGCCGTTTTCCGCAAACAATACCACGTTTTCTGCGAGATTAAGGTGGAGGTTAGACCCACCTTTCCAGTTCATTTTCTGGAACCCCATTTTCCACACAGACAGGAAGAATGGGCGAGATGGAGGGCCTTGTTTCCGTCGAGAATCCGGACGGTAGCAAGAGTTCGCTTCCTTGGCAGATTGAGGTAGCGGATGTCGATAGAGTACTCTGTCAAAGCGGTCCGCCAATGAATTCTACTCGACAATGCCAAAAGATTGCTTATAGACGATGAACGGAGTCAACTGATATTCCCTCGTGTATTCGAGGAGTTGATTTGAGGTGATGATGTTACCTACTGTGTGGTAACAATGTATTGCACACAATTGTACCTGCTGTTATGTGGAATGTTTTGGCCATTCTATTAATACAGTTTTAATTTTATCAAGAGCTACGTGTCTAAGGGCATTAGAAATCAACAGACAATTATTGGCATTTCTATTCGTAATAACTGCGTAGAAATGTGATACAGGATTATAACAGATGAAGGAATCCATGAGGAACTGGGCAACGCGTAAAAACCCATCGTTAACTCACTTATGTATTTATCAAAGATCGTCATGGGATTGGTAGATTATACAGTCATTCAAAAAGTGCTTTGCTCACTAAGCAGAGGCGACCAGGCTGACCATTAAATTGAGGAATATGTGGCTGTGTAATTCTGTCACGAAAACGGAAACGACCATTTTCCATGCTTCTGATTAAATTTCGTACAAAAATTAACACCCTCTTTGTACTACTGTGAGGTTACTCTCATCATAACTTGATGCACAACTACCATAGGGTCACTGTTGTTTACTCATAACCAGAATCAAGTCATATTTGAGTGTCCGAGGGGGGCTGTACGTACTCCGGCAAGCAAATAATCTGGTAGAACACAAAAACCTTTTGGTGAATCGCTCATGTAATGGAGTCATCCGCGCTCCAGATGGGCCTGAGGTCTGTTGCCTGAGCTTCAGCATTCGAAATTTATACGTGCCAACATTTTGAATAGGTCATATCCGCTTTCGTCCGTTTCCGATTTTCTGGTTATGGGTATTCTTCAGCATTCTCTGCAATTTTGCTGACAGCACGCGATTAAAGAGGTTTTGGGTATTACGACCATTTAATGACCATTTCTGTTTGTTCCTCAAAAGGCTTCATCAGCTGTAGAAGTATAGTCGGTTGTCATCGTTGCTGATAATGATCCCTCAACGAACTTCCTCAAACATGGTGTCATTTTGGTAGTGAAAACTTTGATTAAAGAGCAGCAAAAAGTTATGGCTATTAAATACGAACAAATTATTGTAGTCTTCTTTCGTTTCCATAGTTACGTAGACTCTGACATCTTCTTGTACCTGCGCCAATGTTCAGCAACTCGAGATTCTAGTCCAGTTGTCCAATATTTTTGCTCCCCTCAATGCTGTAGAGTGGGGGATAGTGCCAACGTCTTGAGCCCTTGAGACAATACACATGAAATGCAATGTAGGTGCTTGACTCAGCACCATCGTGTTAACTTTTAAGGTATACTACAGACGAACTCATGAATCGATTGTTGCTTTTACCAGAAACAGTGAACTTTATTACATCAGTCAATCGTACACTCATTCCTGTCTTTCTCACAAGATTTATTAATTTATCCATTCGGTCATTAAATCATACATTAGTCGTGTCTTCGTCGTTTCATTCATTTTTTCTTCACGGTTCGTTCATTTCATATTCATTCACTCACATGTTCATTCAAACATCCTATTTTAATTCTTGAATTCACTTCCACATTCATTCATGCATTCATTCGTTTTTTTTCATTTACCCATTCGTATATTAATTTATTCACCCACCTGCCTGTTATCTAATTTACTCACTCATTTGATATCACGTTCAGTAATTGATTGATTCACTCATTCGCTTACCATTTGTTTACTCATTCATGCATCGGATGTGTGAGTGAACGAACGGGCACGCGAATGAATGAATTTTTCAATCAATCAGTCAATATTTTATTGAATGAGTCAGGGAACGAAACAACAAACGAACGAGTGAATAAATAAAAATATGAAAAATAAAAAACTGAATGAATGTGTGAAGAGGGAGGGGGAAATGATCTGTATATAGTATATATATGAATATTTGATGTAACAGATAACGGATTT